CAGTCCCTGGATCCTTCTGGTAAAGATCAAACCTGATCTGGATCTGAAGGTAAAGGAAGGAGGAAGTGGATAGGGAAAGAGGGGACTGGGAACTGTGCAAGAGGGGAGGGATGACCATGGAAGGGACAGCCTCCTTTCTAGAAAGTGTCCTCCTCCAGCTGAAGCAAAGGGAGCATGCGCTTCCTAGTCATTTTTTAAAATTGTAGTACAAACACACAAGTTCGGTGCCACAACCAGCTCAAGCCACATTACGGTGCACAGTACACAGGATGTACAATTAACTGCTATGTCTAGTGCCTAAGTCTTCTCCCGCTAGGGGGTGCCATGGAGCACGCTCTGTGATGGAGAGATAGTCCTGAGATCATAGAGGATATGAGGGGGAAGCATGGGGAGGGCTGGGGAATCCTGCCAGGAGGAGAGTGCTGAAGACTCAGGGCAGAGCATAGGTTAGGCGTGGATTTAAAAAGAAGGAAAGGACAGGACTTGATCTTGAGGAACAATTTGGGGGAGCCCAGGACAGACAGGAGAGAACTGTCTCTCATTCCTCTTCAAGCTGCTTGAGGACAGAGGACATGCCTCATGGGTCACTTTGCCTTGCTCGTCTGGGACCTGGGATGTGCGAGTCAGGTTTGTAGATAGAGTATAAAAACATTTGGAGAAGGAAAAAAAAAGAGTCTAATGCAAAATATTAAAGGGGCTGATACTTCTTTTGCACTCAGCAACAGAGACAACAAGCCAGAGACTTCTGCTGTGGAGAAAACAGCTGTCACAAAAATTCCTTCTCTTAAAATAATGGGAAAAATTGGAAATGAAAATTGTGCCCTAAGAGTAGTATAAAAATATCAATGACTAATCAAGGATACGTAAGTAAAAATATCACAATTAGAATGTGTGTGAGGGAAGCACGAATACAGTGATTAAGACTCTGTATTCCTTACAGAGATGGGCCTTCTGAAAATATAAAACCCGTATATACTCACAAACACAGAAGCCATATCACTGTCACCATCAACACCCAGGTCCATCTGGTGAACTGGAAACTCAGACACTGACTCTCTACCATGACTTGAACGTGATATGTTTCCCACGTATGTGCTCACATGCTGGGGGGCTGGGGGCCAGGCTGCCAACTGGAGGACTTTGGGATCATGACTGAATCCTGAGGATTCTGACATCCATCCATTCAGGGATTATGCTCCCAGTCCCCTACCCTTTCTCCTCTCACTGTTTGGGGGTATGTGTGAATGGATAGCTCTGCCCCACCACATGGTCCCCATGGTGTTCTGTCTTGCCTCAGAAAGACAAAGGAGCAACTGGCCTTGGTTGGAACTTCTCACGCTGCAAAGAAATAATGCTTTTCTCTCTCTAAACTGATTCAAGTTCCCAACCTCAGGGAGTTCATGGTCTGGGCTAATGTTGGGGCTGTGGAAAGACAAGCTCACTGAGTGTTAAAACTCATGATGGAGCTGGGCTAGGGGCTACTGGGTGGGCAGGAAGCCCAGTGTGGCATCTGTGAAGGGCTTTCCCCAGGAAGCATAGCTCAGCTGAAAACAGAACCAAGAAGAGACAGAAGGGTGCTTCAGTGAGTAGAGGGACAGGAGGGGAGGACATGGGACAGGAATGGTGAGGATCAAGCTGTGAAGCTTGGGGGACATTTAAAAGCCCATGCAGGAACATTGAGTTTTTTGTGCAAGTCACCAGTCAAGAAAAGGAAGTGGTTCTCCAGTCTTGGGGAACAATGTCATGGATTCCTGAATCTAAGCAAACATCCCCTTAATGTCACTTGTCCCTGAAGAGCACACAGCTCTTGTGTTCTCTCTCTTGCCCTCTCCACGTCCCTTCCCCTCACAGACACACATATGCTGCTAGGTTCATAGAAACTGACTAAGACCAGAGACCTAGGTAAGGACAGTGAGATCGAGATGGCTGGTTCCCTTATGATAACTGTGTGTGCAGTAAGAGTCACAGCAGCCACCATGGAAAGATTATGCCTTCCTGCCAGCAGGGCACACACAGACAAAGGGAATCTGTGATAAGAGGAAAGGGGACAATTGGATAGTCACATGGGGAAAAAATCCACAGAAAAGTGAGCATAATTAGTGATTGAAAAAGTGTGATAAAAGCCACAATGACACCCTGGCTTGAAATTAGCAAGGGCATCACAAATGCAGTGGCACCCAGTGGTGTAACACGCAGGAGCCAGGGACTCTGATGGGGGCTGTGCCTGCATGGATGGGAGCATCTTTCAAGAAATCAATTGGCCGTAAGTGCTTTGGTCCCACAAAACGTTATAATAGTATTTCTCAACAACTAAGGAAATCATAAAAACTGCAAACTAATGCTTTTGTACAGAGATGCTCACTGGAACCCTATAATAAACGGAAAACCTAAATGCCCACTAAAAAGAAAACAGTTGAGCAAATTAGCCATTGCATTTCATAAAGAGCGTTATTAAAAAGTTACTGGTGGAGGGCAATGTCACCCATAAAATGTTAAGTGAAAAGAAAGATTACAAATTACAGCAACTGCACACCATATAAGGGAAAAAGTTGCTGACATAGACAGGAAATTGAAGGCAGTAATAACTAATGTCACATTGCAGAACCAGAGGGGAAAATGTTTGCTTTTCTGGTTTTTATGTATTAGAAACAACGATGCTTTTATGAGAAAGCATAGCCTGTGTTGTAAACGTTAAAATGTGTATCCCAGCATCCCTTGAATCCCCTCAGTACAGGTACTTCCTCTCTGGAAGGTACCCTGCGGACTGACCACTCATGTCCCTGACTTGTTCCATCCTGCTGCCAGTATTCAATTTCCTCCTGTCTCTGTCTGACCCATTTCCATGCAATGCAATGAACAGTTGAGCTTGTCTGCAATGGGCAGGGTCACCCTGTATGAACTTGAATAGAGGGGATCCAAGCAGGATACAAAGATGTATGGCCAAAAAAGTAACTCCAAGAGCCAGCCAGACAGCCAGTGTTCTAGAAACAAAGAGTGGTGGAAGCATGTGCCCCACATGGCCCAGCTTTCAGATATTTAAGGAGTAAAGCAATTCTGACAGGTCAAGGGGAAAGCTCTCTGATGAGCTGGATCTTAGAGAGAGCATTTGACAGGCAGAAAAAGGACATTCCTGTAGAGAAAATGGCCTGAGCAGAGGCCGGTGGTAAGGCAGGTGGCAAGAGATTGTAACCATGGTGACAAGCATCAGGAAGAGTCAGGCTAGACCAGCAAAGGTCTTCCATGTCAGTCTGTGGAGACAGGACTTATTCTGTGGGTTAGGAGTGCTTCCTCAAGGCTTCAAGGAGTAGAGGACAGACTCCCTAAAAAGAGAGCACATCCTTCCATCACTTAGCAGACGAGTGTGGCTCTAAGCTGGGCCCCCAGAAGAGGGGGAAGGGATTTACAGCCCATTCTGGTCTTCCACTGACCTTTGTCCTGCACCAGCACCTCCAGCTCCTCCCGAACACCGTCGGACCAGCTTGTGATATCCACATGGAGGGAATAGTCACAGCAGGACTTGGTGTCTGCTGCTTCGTGCCACTTCTCAAAGGAAGTCAATAGGCTGGACCCCGATTCAGGAACAACATGGTCAACTGGGACAGAGAGACATGCGTCATGATGCTTAGAACCCAAGCTGTTCCAACAGTGGCCACATCACCCCCACCAGCACTTCATCAATATCACCATCATTCCACAATCGCTAGTCAACACTATCACCATCAATTGCATCAACCACCATACAACCACCACCACCATCATCATCACCATAACCATCACCACCATCAGCCTTACCACAACCAACACCACAATCATAACCCGCAATCATCAACATATTCCCACCATCATGCCCATGAATATCATCACCATCACCACTGTAATGGTTTAAATAAATCCCAAGCATTTGAATACCTGCTCCCCATTTGGTGGCTGTTTGGGGAAGATTACAAGGTGTAGACTGTTGGAGAAGGTATATAACTGGGGGTAGGATTTGAGGTTCAAAGAAACTCCTACCTTTCCCAGAGTGCTCTCTGCCTGTTGCTTGTAATCAAGACTCGAGCTCTCAGCTACTCCTGTCAACATGCCTTCACTCTGCCATCAAGGTGTAGAGGCCCATAGAAGGGGCTCTTGACTCAAGGTTCCATCTTGACTCAAGGTCAGAGAGTTTGAGCCTGTTAGTGCTCCTTCAAGGTTAAACCACAGTAGGATTGGCCTAAGGTGTGGCTATTGTATTGTCTTGCCTAGACAACAGGGTATTTGGCCTAAGGTGTAGTTAATGGATGTCTTACCTAAACAGCAGGATATTTGGTTTAGGGTGTGGTTACTAGATGTTTGGGGGTTATTAATGAGGTAATTACATTTGTTTGTTCCTGTTTTATGGTAAGGAACATGTATTATTGGGGTACATAAGAACTTTGAGCAATCAACTTGGGGCAGATCATACTATTTACTGGATGCCCTCCTTAATCTATCTCTTGTCTTAAGTCTATTTCCTTCCTCAATTCACACTCCCTCTCTCAAGCCCTTTTAATCAGGTCAGCAGGTCCTGACATCAAGGACTCTAACCCTCTGGAATCCTAAGTCCAATTAAGCACTGAGTCCTGAGCCACAGGACCACTGAGTTGAAAGGGTCACTGAATCCTGAACCTTCAGCTTTCCAAAACTACAAACTTAAGTAAGCATCTTTATTATAACATACCTGGCCTCAGGTACTTGGTGATAGCAATGAATAGCAAAAGAATCCAGAGGTTGTTTGTTATGTAGCATTAGCGTAGCATCATTGTAACAATACAGATACAGCTTTAACTAACACAGCCACTTTCTAGCCACAGGCAAATCATGTTTGTTACTCTGTGAGTGTCTTCCACCTTTTGCTGTAACTTTAGCTGAATTCGCACTTCAGAATGTTGTTCAGGATCTTGTTTGTTTTTAGCTTTATCTCTGTATGATCTGAAGCATTCTTTAAATGACACTCCCTCTGCCCAGCATAGCCCCAGATCAAAACCTGTTATATTTCTAGCATCAGAAAGGCCACTGTGGGACAGGCCTGCCACGCATTGGGAGGACTTTCCTCACTCTCTCTCTTCAAAAGATACCAAGCACACATTTGACCCGTTGTGATCCAGCAAGGCTAAGAGAGATGCTTGACACTTTTAAATTTGCTTCATTTCTAAGACTCTAAATGCAAACCTTCATCATCTCATCCTGAGCACTAAAATCCACTATTCACTTGTCATTTGGAGGCAAGCAACCACAGGGAAGTTTAGCAACCTGGGACTCCACTTGGCTTGGGTTATGCACCCTGTTTAAATGATATTGTACTCGGCAGCCTGAGACTCTCACCTGCACATATTATGCACCACACTCTGAACAATGCACCTAGCAAACTGTTAGCAGCCCAGGACTCGAGCTGTATCGAGCTTCATGCACACCCCTGCCTGAATGATGGAATGGATTTTCCTCCCCCTAACAACCGTCGTTCTTAGGTTCTACCCAGCCTTGCTCTCCTTATGCCCAGGTAGGAGACCAGAAAGACCTACCCAACCTGAACTGCTCTGGGATGCATGAATAGTAAGGCAAACTGTGTTCTCAAAGGGAACTTCTAGGGAGAATCTCCTATATCCCAGATTAAATCTATGCATACGTGGGGAGTGTATATGATTAGAATCAGATGCATTATGGGAAAGGATAAGTACAGTACAAAAATAATTATGTGACCTAATCTATCAATCAAAACAGAACCATCCTCACAATGGCCCTTAGTAACGAACCTCCTTGGACCCCCATAAAAAGAAGCCCTGGACAATAACGGGACCGTATCTCCTGTGTTGTATTCTGTCCTGTTCTCTAGGTCTGCTTTTAACCACATGTCTCTGCTGCTTTTGCAAACCTGGGAGAGCTTTTATTTCAATTCCTTGACTAAGGGGCCAAGAACCTGCAAACACTGGTGTGTCTGAACTCTAAGAGGCACACACAGCAATGGCCTATATTTATTGTCTCAGGGTGTGATGAGGAGTTACACGGAGCCATGAGTACAGGACCTTGTGTACCAAACTCCAGTGAGCTCATAGCCCCCGTCTCTAAGGCCAGGGAAAGGGACACTCACTGATCATTGTGGTTCCACCTGCCAGTGCTGCTTTGGTGCCCTGGAAGAAGTCATCTGCTGAGGTCATGCCCTGGGAGGGCTTCTGCAGGTAAGTGTTGACATCAATGCCCCCGGGAATGACCATTCGTCCATTGGCTTCGATGGTCTTCACGCCACCAGGAACAATCAGGTTCTCTCCTATTTGTCTAGAGGAAGATAACAGAGAAATCTTTGGTTTTTAAGAGAAAGCCAAGCATGGCAGCCAGCCGTATAACATCGGCTCCTCTAAGTGCGTGTTTCCCACCCAAGCTAACACAGGGCACTGGGACTGCAGCATAGTACGAATCCAGAGCTCACATTTTCTCCTCCAAACACTTGGAATCCTGTGGACACTGAAGCCGGCTCGGGAAGGCATGTGGCTCATTAAGGCCAGAAATGGTCCTACTGAGCAGTGGGCCCCTTCTGCAGAGCTGAATTTCCTATTCATGCCATATGGATCATCTAACTTAGTATCTGCAATGCTTTCAAAATGTAAGGGCAGTGATCCAAATATGATCCAGACCCCAAGGGAAGAGCTGAGTAGGAAACCCAGGCCACTCCATGTCAAAGGCAGAGAGCAGAAATGCTCTGTCACAGCCACAGCTGTGATCATCTGTTGCTATGGACTGAATGGGTCCCTCAGAACTCATGATGCGGCCCAGCCACCACCCACTCCACACCTGACATGGCTGTTAAGGATGCAATGAGGTTTAAATGAAGTCCCAAGGGCAAATCTCTAGTCTATAAGGACCAGTAGCCTTCTCCAAGAGAGCTATTGCTGTGTCACACAGAACAACCATGGCCACTTAGAGCCAAGGACAGAGGTCCTGACAGAAATCAAACACTGATGGCACCTTGGTTCAGGATCTCCAGTTTCTAGAACCAGGAGAAATAAATACCTGTCTTTCCAGTCACCCAGTCTGTGACATTTTGATACAGTAGCCTACAACTTATCCTTGGGTTATCATGAGTAGGCCAGAAGAGGAAACCACAGGGACATCAGGGAAAATTCCAACACCAGGAGACATTTCTTGTGTGGAAGGCAACAATTCCCTTCCTTTCTGGTACTCTCAGCCAAGTCCCAAGAACTAGCAGGTAGGAGACAGAACTGAAGATTCAGGCAGATGCTAAATAAGGGATGTGGGTCCCACCCTTAGACCCCACCCTATACTACAGGCAAGCCACTACTCCATGGTAACAAGAGATGAAGATCTGCATCAGACACCCAAGGGATGAGAATCTGAGGAACGGAAAGCAGAGAGTATGCAAGGCCTCCATGCTGGCCAGTTCCTGCTGTACCTACAGCTTGACGTCCTGCCCTATATGCCTGACATGCAGAAACACAGGAGACTGAATCAGGGGCAGAACATTAGCCTTCCATGGGGTGTAAGGCCAGGAAGCCTGGAGGGGCTGAGTTTTTAAAAGTTCTATTTTGGCCAACTCACTTTATGAGTCCATCTTCCAGGTAGACATCTGCGTAGAAAGACTGGTCATCGTTGATGATGCGTCCGCCTCTGATGAGGAGTCGGTCACTCTGAAATGCAAAGCAGTGTGTTAGATCGTTGGCAGGAGACAAGACCTTTATGTTTTTTAGCTTTGGGGGCTTTTAAGGATTTATTTATTTATTTTTTATTTTATGTGTATGAACATTGTGATGTTTTGAATAAGAATGGCCTGTGTTAGCTCATTTATCTGAATGCTTGGTCCTTAGGTAGAACTGTTTCAGGAAGGATTAGGAGGTGTGGTCTTGTTGGAGGAGGTGTGTCACTGGGGTGGGTTTTGAGACTTCAAAGGTCCATTCTAAGCCCAGTCTTCCTCTCTGCCTCCAACTTGCACATCAGGATGTAACCACTCAGCTCTGGAGCCAAGCCTTCCTGCCTACATGCCATGTTCCCCACCATGGTGGTCATGGACTAACCCTCTGAAACTGTAGCAAGCTCCCAATTAAATCCTTTCCTCTGTAAGTAGCCTTAGTAGTGGTGTATCTTCACAGCAATAGGACAATAATTAAGACAAGGAAGAGTTTTTTCTTGCATTTATGTTTGTGCACAACTGTATGCAGTGCCCTTGGAGGCCAAGGAGTTCATCAGAGCCCCTATGACTACAGTTACAGACAGCTGTCAGCTACCACGAGGATCCTGGAAGTCAAACCTAGATCCTCTGACAGAATAGCCAGTGTTCTTAATCACTGCACCACCTCTCCACATCCCACCCCTTGAACTTTTGATATAAATGTCTCAAATATCTTCAAGAGGCAAAGACAGAACACTAGGTGAGACCCTGAGATCCATGCATGGACCCTCCTCTGTCTGATATCCTGCCGTCCTTGGCTTTTTCGCTTCCCATTGTCAACGCTTTTTGCTTTTGCAGCATATTTAACAAGCTGTCATTTTACTTTCACTGATAGTGGGAGAGAAGGAAAGTATGCGTATATATGTCATGTGCTTGTGGAGGTCAGAGGACAACTTCCAGGAGCTGGTTCTCTCTTTCCACCTTTCCATAGGTTCTGGGAATTGAACTCAGGTTATGGGGCTTGTGTGGCAAGTGCCATTACCTACTGAGCTGTTTCATCAACTCCTGATGAATAATTTGAAAATTAACACCATCACCACATAATTCTACCCATAGAAACTTTAGGACACATCTCTGTTAAGGACATGGAAGAGAGGTGCTTGCATGGATGTGTTCACTTGCCCATGTGTGTGCAGAGGACAGAGATCCACACTGGGTATCTTCCTCAGATGCTCTCCACCTTAGTTTTTGATACAGAATTATCCACTGAACCTGGAGTTCATGAATTAGGCTAGGCTGGCTGGCCGGTGAATTCCAAGGATCCTCCTGTCTCTGCCTCCCCAGTGCTGGGGTTACAGGCACACTCTGTCATGATGGACTATATGTGAATGCTGTGGATATGAACTCGGGTCCTCTGCTTACTTAGCAAGAATTTTAGTGACTGAGCCATCTCCCCAACCCCTCTTTATGGACTTTTAAAGTAAACTATAAGCATGACTTGCAATTCCCACTAACTGATTAATAACACTTCCTTTATCCCAATCCCCCATCAGACTATATTCAACTTTACTTACTTGTTGAGAAATGTCTTTTTACTTGGGGGGAGGGGCAGCCTCCAATGCACCTGCCCTGAGTTCTCTGACTCCCAGCTGTCTGCACTAGCTCCTCCCTCCTGACTTCCACTCATTAATTGGAGAAACTGGGTCATTTGTAAAACAAGTATTTCTTCAGCCACTTTTTAATATGATAATAATCATGTTTTTGAAAAGATTAAAATCCTGCTCCCCTCACAGGTGGTCCAAGTCCAGACGTTCTGATATTTTGACTCTATAACATCTATCATGCCCTCACCCGCTGCATGGGTCACATGCTGCCTGATTGATTACTTCAGCTCCCAGTCAGGGTCAGCCTCTGAAAAGCCAGAGGACATAGGAGCATCTGAGTCTGCTCTCGGGGCTGACAAATGAGAGGTAGAGGCTTAATGAGCCACAGGGTTGGGGGGGTCAGGAGGGCAAGACTGGGTCTTCCAGGTTCATCGGGGATTAGGTAGGGCAGCTTCAAACCCATAAATAAGCTGAGGAAGGCTGGACCACACAAAGTACTAGAAAAGGAGACGGCTAGGAGGGACGGACACATCAAAGACTATGCGAAGCCCAGCAAACTAGAGAGCTCTGCCTTTTTCCTTTCGCCATAAGCAATTCCCAAGTTACGACGTGCTCTTCATGATTCTGATTTTAAGATACTCTTCCTTGTGGATGCATAAGTTGTGATCATTTCACCAAGAGCTTTGTTCAGCATTAAGATTTGATCATTTGTAGTTTCGAGGCTATACATTTCCCAGTGTGTTTATTTACTGTTTCCATGGTTCCCCATATTATACCTTAAACCCCATTCCTTTGAGGAGGGAGTTTGACAGAGAATAGGAAGAACCAAGTCTCCTGAAAGAGAGCCTGATAGGACCACCTAGGAGACAGCAAAGGATCCGAGGGGGACCTGGGAATCTGA